GAAAGGTTCAAAAGCAGAAAACAGTAAAAAGAAAAAATTACAGCATCAGTTTACATGTCAGATACAAAAATGAGGGCAAAAAGAATTCTTCGTTTTTCCCACATCATGTCCTCTTGGGTTTTTTTTCCCCCTTTTGATTGACTTTTGTTTCTTCCTGCAGGTTGAAAGCTTGTCTGAGACAAGTCAACGACACATCGTCCCGGGTTGTGGGTCAGGCGTTTTTCAACGTCATCGGTGTGCCCTGCTTCGACTTTGCCTACGAGGAACAGTGCGCTGAGCGGCACTGGTACGGCCTGTAAGTGTCAGCGCCCACAACTCACAACAACGCTTCATGAACTCATCATGAACTCTTCATGAACTCATCATGAACTCTTCATAAACTCCCTTTCCTTGTGTCGCCTCCGCCCCACAGGTGCAAACGATACGACAGGTTCCCCGTCGCCGTGCTGAGAGAACCGGTGCCGTACGACTACGGCGGGGTTGGCGTCATAGACGAGCTGACGGTGGCGCCACCCAAGCGGGAGGAATCCAAGAAGAGCGGAGAGGAAGAGCAGCGGGAGAGTCCCACTCAAAGTACGATATCGGAGCCGTCGCTGAGGAACGTCGTCACCGCCGCCGAGGACTTCATCAAGGTGCTCGCCACCGTCTCCACGTCTCAAAGCTCCAGCGGAGAATCCGACAAGGAGGAGGCGCAAAGCTCGGAGAAGAAGAAGAGGAAGAACGCCGGGGCGAAGAAGAAAGCAAACAGAAAACATAAAAAGAAAGGGAAGGGCAGGAAGAGGAAGCAGAAAACGGAGGCGGGTGTGAAAGCAGAGGAAGGAGCTGCGGGAAGCAAGGCAGAAGACATCTTCTTGTCTCTGAGCAACTTCATCAGCGAGTCCAGCAAACGCGATCGGTCAAGGACTAATGCAAACAGGGTTGACGACAGGAAATTTGAGCTCAGAAGGACAGCCGAGCCCTCCAATGATGTCATGAAAGATGAGCCTGCCTCGGGTAAGGAGACGGTTTCTAGTACACCTCTGAAGGTCCGGAAAATGCCAGGTGAGTCAGTTGAGGGGATGAAAGAGGAAGTCCCTTTGTCAGAAAACCTGATGACCCTGAGTACGCCACACAAAGTAAAAACCAGAGGACGAAAACAAGGCAAGAAAAATTCACCTCCTTCTTCTGAGCACCGTAGATTAAACTCCATAGACTCTGTTCCACCGATTACAGACTTACTGCCAACCGCAGAACCGGAGCAACGCAGCTCCACTACTACAAGCACTGCCAGTGTTCCTAACCCAAACCCCAAAGTGCAAAGGAGCAAGTCAAAGGAGAGAGGAGACAAGGAGAGGAGAAAGAAAAGAAAGAAAGTTGATTCAGACGCTCTCGTTGTGCCTTCTGACCCTTGGGATTCCTCTCCAAAGAGTTGGACATCGTTCCCTCTCACCGGGACTCCCACCTTTGCCCCAACCCCACCCACAGAGCTGCTGCTTTTAAGAACGGCGTTTTACAGACCGGACAGTCAGGTGACGGCTCTCAGCCCCAACTTTTCTGCCTCGAAGGGGCGAAGGTCAAAAGAGAGAGTGCAGAGAAGCAGAAGGAGGAAAACAGTCGTCCTTCTCTCCAGTCAAAACTTGTTTTCCCACAGCGGCCCTGAAAATGCCAACCTTGTTCCCACAACTCCTCACACCCTGGTCGGTTGGCCGGGTTTCGCGAGCACCCCGGCGCTGCAAGACACAGAAGCTCATGATGAATTGAGGCTCTTGACGACGGCCGCCCCCACACCGAGTACAAATCTCAACGCGCTTCTGAGCAAACGGCAGAAATCCGACCAGGAGCAAAACGAACAAGAGACACTTCCAACTTGGCCAATCATGGTCAGATCTGAAAAGTCGTGGACAACCACGTCTGCAGCTCCATCCATGAGTCCGCTTCAGTTCTCCATGGAGAGAGCGAGAGCACAGTTCAACAGGAAGAAAAGGAGGAAGGCGTTGCTGCTGCGTCCACAGCATTAGGCTTCTGGCGTAGCAGGATTTAGTCCAGAGGTCATGATTCATTATTCTGCTTCAAAGAATGAAATCACACCATCACTGATTGAACCTCCAGAATGATCTTTTTCAATATTTTCTCCAGTATGTCAGCAATAAAATGTATAAAATATTCTTTGTGTGTTTGTTTGTTTGGAGTCTGTTTGTTTACGCCTGTAATAAAATCCTGTGCACAGAAATAGCTACACAGACCAATGAGGCTCTTTGAGAAAATAAGTTTTTGTCTCTGTTTTTTCAGCCTGATCTGACCAGTAGAATCAAAATGCTCTACAAATCCAAAGTGGAGACCCGACGTCACATCGAGTTGAATCAGATGCGTCCAGACTTTTACCAGGTTGTGTAAAGTGTGTTGAATTTATTGTGTGCCGGTAAAAGAAAAATTAAATGACTATTTTTTCAATTAAAAAATGCTCCTGCCCCAAAACAGAACTCTGAGGCACACCCTTGAATGTCTTCAGAAGGGTGCAAAAAGCGATTGGTCAATGAAATCATTTATTATGTAACACTTTCTGTGGAGAAACTTCGACAGCCATGTTGGACCTCTGTCAACCTCGACGTACTCAACAAAGATAATCACCGTCGTCAGTTTGTTCATTTACTTGATCTAAATGAAGATGATTTGTGATGTTTGGGAAAAAACAGAGAAATAGAGTGAATGTCTCACATTCCTTTTGCCGGCGCATAGCGTTGGTACACAATGCAAATTTATTAGTGAATATGGAAGAATATTGTTTTATAGTTCAGTGATATTTTCAGAGAAACTCTGAGCTGTGAAAGTTATCTATTTATTTATTTGGTGGGAGTTTCAGATTGGTGGCTTCTGGTTATCACGTTCAGAAAGGACATTAAACTGTCAACAATATTTAGCTCACATCGCCATATCTAATACCAAGAACAAATATATTTTACAGACGATAAGAGGAAAGAACTTATCACTTACTTATGTTTTTAGTTAAATTTGACATATTTATTATTTCAACATTATTTCACATATTTCACACTGCATGAAGTAGAATTCATAAAATCACCTATTTTTATCGCTTCTATAATTGAATATATTTACATTTGCGATTTTGCAAGAGGAGGGTCCAGAGCGCCACGTGTGGGTCTGCAGATCCCTGACCCAGGCTCCTCTGTGCCAGCCTACGTCATGCCCTTGGGACGGTGGACACAATGTTATCCACAGGAATGTCTGGAGTGAAAGGAGAGCATCTGCAGTGAAAGGCCAGGGTCAAACTCCTCCACCATGGAGGCTCCCTCTGTGCATCCATTTATTATTAGACACCAAAAACCCAAAGGTGGTTCTACTCAAGAGCCTAGTGGAGATAAAAACAGAATTACAGTGTAACGTAGCATTTTAAACTTCTCAACTTGAGCATTTTAGCATTTATACAAAACCTATCTTTTTGTGCTGTGTGATATCGTTGCCGGTTTATTGAAGCCCAAACAAAAACGCTTTTCTAAACAGTTTGGAAAAATGACTCGCCTTGACCTTAACCGCTGGTACGACTTGTGATAGCGGTGCTACAAGAAGCTTTAGGAAACCAAGGAGTGATTAAGGGACCTGTGACATAATAGCCCAGGGCTGTAGAATCAGAAAGAGACTGAACAGATTTCAATTTCATGGGAAGTTTAAAGAAATAAATAAATCAAAACATGCTGGCCTGATAGAAGAATGATAAAGATCAGAACGTCGACCGGCGTTTGGACGGATGAGACGAAAACTGAACGCAGATCTGAGCAGCTTCAGCGGGTTTTCACATCCAACACCTGCTTTAATTTGAATTCATTCGTTTGGCGAAGCTAGTATTTCATTTTAAGAAGTATCTCGTCTATAAGAGAAAACTTTTCCTATAGATTCGATACAATAATATGTGGAATGGCAAAGTTAAAGCAAATATTTTTGAAGCAGAAGTATTTAGAAGACTAAGAGATTTACTTTGTATTTGCTCTGATGAATAAAATCCTGGCTATTCTACCAAATTCTGTCAAGCAAATATAACTGAAGCATCTTTTACTAAATGTCAGGCTTCCTGTTTCACAGAGGTACAAATATGGCACAAATTAGTGGAGTCACTCCTCAAAATGGCAAAGAGTAGAAACATGCGACAAGAAAGCTTCAGATTGGTGCCGTTAGAGGGCCAACAAACCCTGAAGCGAGCAATAGGGTTGACATGAACTCACCGACAAACTAACCGACCTGCTGAGAAAAAGCAACTTTGTGAAATCTGAAGCAGCCTCTCGTCTTTATAGAGTGAAGCGCTGCAGCAGTTGACTCATTTTAGCATCAAAAATTGTCATGGCGGTTTTGCTAAAACAAATATTGGACACGTTTCATTCATTCCCACAAGAAATTTTATTTTTCTAGAAGTAGAAAATGTATTCCAAATGCTGCTGCTTCAAAAAATAATGTTTACTTTGACTTTGTTATTCCATGTAATTTTCCTTTCCAGGAATGTGTCTGGAAAGTTTTCTTTTTTGAGAAAAAAAAACAAAACAAAACAAAAAAAACCCAATGAGATGTTTTAGCTGGAGCCTGCAGTTCAATTCAACTTGAACAGGCTGAGGAATAAAATTTTGTGCCGCCCCCTGCTGGTGCTACCTCTTCACTACGACTCAGATCAGATTTTGATTCTTCTTTCACTTTTTTCATCAATAGATAATTTTAAAAAGCCTTTTTTTAAAATATATATATCTATATATATATAATGTTTTCTTACATATGTCAGTTAGATAGAAAGCATTTTGAAACCAAAGTCACAAAATGAGTCCTAAGAAAATCTACCAGCATCCTGAATTTAAATTTTTGTACCTGACAAAAGTTAAAATTCATCTGTCTGACGTTTTTGGGACCTTTCGACTTTGTGTTTTTACGATAAAATCTCCAGTTGTTTTGATTCCAGATCTAATTTTAAATCAAATTTCTCCCCTTGCCTTCTTTTCTAAATAGAAATGAAACATGACAGGAAATACTTCCAAATGGGTTTTATTTCAGTCATTCCTACTGTCATTCATAGTATTTCTTACCCAAGTACAAGAATACAGAAAACAGACACAGTTTAACCAAAACATCTTAAATTTAGTGAGAAAAACAAAGTTGTTTCTCGAAAGAAAAAAAGAAAGCTGTTGGTGAAACACCTGTCGATTACACAAATGAAAAAAAATTTTGGTTGAACTAAATTATTTCGGAACATTTCTTTCATTAAGACTACTTTACATGTTATTGGCTGCTGCTGGCAAAGCGGCCAATCCCAGCAGCTGAATTCAACATCAAGGCGCTGATTGACAGCAGAGATAAGAACAAATGTAGAAGTCAGCTTCTCTGACAGAAATAAACTCATTTCCACTGGGGGTGCACCGATTTCACTTTTACAGACAAAAAGAAATTGGTATTGGCCAATACTGGAATTGGTAGGTCAGGTTTTTTAAATGGACTGTGACTGGTTAGTTCAGAAAACTACACTTCATTTACTCTTCTCAATCTCTGACAAGAAAAGAGATTGAGATTCAGTGCTGAATCTCATGTGGACGACCAAATTACCACAATCAAACAAAATAACAGTTCCAGCCCTTGGCTGCTGTGTTTCCCTCAAAATTTGGCTACGTCAAACAAAAAAGGTTGCAAGGGCTTTGTCTTGGCGTGGACTTTCATGTGGCGCACCAAGTGGTCCCTTCTGCTCAGCGATTTCCCGCAGATGCTGCAGGGAAACCTCCTGGGGGCAGAGTGGGTCGACTCGTGTCGCTTCAGTCCTGATAACTGTCTGAATTGTCTCCCGCAGGTCTTGCAGACGAGCGGACTGTGACTCTTGCTGTGGTGCAAGAAGTAGCGGTGTCTCGTGAAGCGTTTCCCGCATGTTTGGCAGGAATACAACTTCTTGACGGCGTTGACGGCCTTCGGCTTGTCGGCGGGCGGCACCGGCTCTCGCGGTTTGGCCGTGTGGGATCTCGTGTGGTACAGCAGGTGGTCCTTTCGACCGAAGGACTTTCCGCACGTGCCGCAGGCAAACGGCTTCTCGCCTGTGTGGACTCTCGTGTGTCTCTTCAGGATGTAGGCGTTGCTGAAGTGATTCCCACACGTTTTGCAGAGGAGTCGCTCGGTCTGAGCGCAAGCCGAGGAGCCGACCTGTGGACCGAGCGGTTTTCCGCCGGAGTCGTTGGTTTTCTTGTGGCGGATCAGCCGGCTGTTCTGGCTGAACGAATTCTTAACAACGCCGCATCTAAACTTGCATTTGCGCATGTGGGTGCCCACGTGTCGGATCAGTCGGCATCTAAACGGAAAGGTTTTCTCACAAAAGCCACACCGAAAAGACTGCGTGCCCGCATCAACCGTAGAGCTCGGCACCAGAGGGAGGTCCATCTGTATATCGTCTGCAAGTGCAGCTTCGCGTCCTTCGTAAGATTCCTCTTTGGGTACAAACATGGCGAGAGGCTGGATCCAGTTGCCTACGCCGGTCTGAAGAATATCGCCGCCTCGCTCCAACACAGAGCTCTCTCCTTCCTCGCAACTAGGAGTCGGTAAGAATCTGTTTGTCTCCGCCTGCGCTTCCAGCGTCATTTCCTCTTGTTCCTCTTTGATTTGCGGAGGTTCTGGCTCCTCCTCGACGCCAGTACAGGTCCTGTCCTGGCCACAGAGCAGCTGGTCAGTGGGAGCGCTCTCCTCCACGCAGAGCCGATGCTGTGGGAGGTCTGTAGCGGCAAAAAGACACAGCAACTGAAAGACGGAGGAGAGTCTGGTGGAAAGGATTAGTTTCCATTTAAGAATCTTGTCAAACACAGGAAAATGATCTGATGCTTTACATTTTAAAGACTTTGATTTTGAAAGTCCTTGTCAGGACCACTGCCACCAGTCCGAGCAGGAAACTGGTGTCACATTTTTTAGCTTGATTGACATCAAGCTTTATTATCTATTTAAAATTCCTAATTGCACTTCAAGCCTCTACAAAAGTGAAGAGCTTTAATAACGCAGTTCAAATGGTGGGATCAGAAAATATGTCCACTAAAAATACTGAATAGCGTTTTCACAGTAGAAGAGTCGTAACGGACTAGTCTGTGCTCCCACCTTCCTCACAACGAGCACTCAGTGTGTGTCTGTGCGTCTCCTCCTTCTTCTCTGCTTCCTCTTCCTCACGGGCGCCGCAGCAGTCCTCCTCTTCGTGTTTCATCCGTGGAGGTCGTGGTTCCTCCCGGTCCTGGCTGCAGCTCGTCCCCCTGTCACTGGCCGGCCGCCCGGCAGAATCCTCCTCCGCCACGCTGACATGCTGCTGCGGGAGGCCTGGGAGAGGAAGACAAGGAACGACGACCGTGAAGACGAGAAAAGATGAGAACCTGGTGACGATCAGAACAAAAAGTTAGTTTACGTTGTTGGATACATTTAGAAATATCTACCAGTTCCCAGTGTGACAAGTCCTGTACAAAATTAAAAGTTTGTTGAACTTTGAGAGGGCCAGCTTGCATTATTATGCCATTATTGTTGGAAGTGAACTCAAAGACGACGATATTATCGTTTGTTGCGATAATTACTGGGGCAATTTATCGTCCAGTGAAATTATTGCGACAGGCCAAGACACACTTATAAGCTTCAGAAGACTTGAAACAAAATGAAATTTCTAAAAGCAACATTTAAATTCAGATTTCATTCATCCAGGGGGAAAAAAACGAAGATATCCTAATCACACTAACCTGAGTGATAGGGATATTTTGTTGATAGTTTGACTTGAAGACGTATTTAACTCAGTGGTCGCGTCCTCAATCCCTCATTGATTTCGATTTGATTTGAACACAAAGCTTCGTTGAAGACGCGTTTTCAAGTCACCAAGAAGCAAACTGCTGTTTTCCATAAAGATGCCGCGCGCCGTCATCCGGGTCAGTTTTACCGCGAGCCAACCCGTAACCATGGAGCGTTTTGATGGCTGGGTTTTGAACTAATTTCGTGCCATTAGTTTCAAATTGAACACTATGTCTATATCGACACACTGAAACGCAAAGGAACCACGACACAGCTCTTATTCTGAAAGCGAGCATTACTGGTGAACTCACGCGCTCCCCGGGATTCAAAGATTTTACCCTCGCGTGCTCGTTACCGTGACTTTCCCCACGTATTAAAAATACCCTTTTAATATGTAAGAAAGTTGAAATTCGCGCCCATACTCAATCTGCGCAGCGTCACTCGCGGTTTCCAGTAGGCGTCCAGCAGCCTGGCGTTTTCCTGATACGGGATGATGTGCTTCTCAAACTCCGAGAAGATTTCCTCCGCAGCGGCGACCAGCCTGTCTCTGATGAACTCTCTGAGGGCCTGAGACGAACACATCGTCACTGCGACGGCTGAAGCGTCCGAGGCTCGAAAATAAGACTCTCACCAAACACGTCTCCCAACCAAAACAATTCATAAACTGCAGAGTCCTCTGGAGTTTTTTTTTAACGGCGATATAAGAGTGAGCGCATTACCGCCCCCTACCGGCGTGGAGTTCGATCTGCAACTCGAGTTGAAGGACAACCTGCACAGACTGGCGATCATTGAAACCCCACAGGCCACTGGCTTTTAGTTCAAGTTGAAGATGTTTTTCCTGTTACTGTTCAATCTTTCTGTCCGGTCTAGTTATGTTTTATTTGTTTTTTTTATTGAAGTTCATATTTGTTTACTATTATTGTTTTTGTGCTTTCTACAGCACTTTGCCCAGCTGTTCTAAATATGTCAGAAACAAAGTATGACTCGCTCTGATTGAAGTTCTGACTTGAAGTTAACTGTATGGATCAGTTTCGGTGAACAAAAAGCAAAAAAAAAAAAAAAAAAAGGTAAATCAAGAGCTTGGAATGCTAAACAAATTCCAGCCACCTAAAAGTTTTGCATAGTTAAGGTTTGAGATATCCCAGCCAGAAAAACGACAATCCACCCTGAATTCCCAGGATATCTACATGGGAAAGTCCCATTTTGTCCATATCCATATCCAATATGGCTGCCATGGATAATGTATGTTGAAATTCCCCTGACCGGACAACTTCTATCAGTTTTTAAAATTATTAAACCACTGAAACTCAAGAAGCTGTGAAATATCTATATCTGAAAATGGACCGTCACCTGAAACTCAGCTTTGGCGCCATGCTGTTCATGCTCTCCCACTTTAGAGATAAACCGAATGCAGCAAGACTCCATAACACGTTAGTTTGACCACCTTTCCCTTTATTCATTTCACTGTTTGGACAGGAAATGGAGAAGGCTGTTATCACGGTAATAAAGTTTGTGGACAAAGTTTGAACGATATTTAGATCAGGTTCTAAAATCATCTGGAAAAACAAGAATAATAGTTTATTTTAGTCATTGAAATTTGCGCATAGACGTTCTCTCTCTGTCAAAGGTTATATAAAGGTCAAAAACATTACCACCTTCAGTCTGCATCATTCTTTTAGAACAAGAATTCTTAAGCAGCAATGGATTGGCGACCCGTCCAGGGTGACCCGGCCTATCGCCCGAAACGTCCCGCTGAAGATGGGCACCAGCACCCCTGCTGACCCCACTAGGGTCAAAGATATAAGAAAATGGATGGATGGAAGAATTCTTCAGAGTTTAACAAGCACCAATGAATACTAACTTTTTCCAAGTACCACCATGCTGTCAGGACGTTACAATCTAGTAGAGAAGTTGGACTTTCTACATTTGTTGGGTTTTATCACAAACTGTTATCCTACTAAATCTAAATCTGGTCGCTGGGGACACCAAAATGAAAATGTTACAGATTCTCTAACTTGCACGTAAATAGATACACTCATTTTTCTGATTGGCTACCAAATTCATAAAGCTGCTATGCTGCTCAAACTAGCGTAGCAAGTGCAAAAAGATGGCACTCTTGTCCGACTAAAAGAGATGAATCAGCATTCAAGCTAATCTACTGCAGTAATGAATAAAAAACATTATAAAGTTGATGTTTCTTTACTTATTTTGTGTGTGGGTTTGAAAAGGGGGTTTCCCTTTTGATTGTTATTGTTTGTTCTCTTACCTAATTTGCTGCTTGTTCATTTGTAGATCAATAGTGTTAGGATTTTTTTTTGTTTTGTATGCACAAATTGGTGAATTAATACAAATAATAATAATAATTAAAAAAAAGGATATGGTAGGGTGAGGGGTCCCCCAGCCAGAAGCTGTTGGGGGAGGAGGAACCCTAACTCCAGACCCTGGATATTGTAGATGTGGCCCTGCTCAAACACAGCTGAAGTCATAGCAGAAACTCCTGTCTCAGTATGTCATGAACTTCTGCAGTGAGCCAATCATCACACTCAGTTATGCTGAACTAGAGAAACATCTAAAACATGAAGGTTACGACTCCTGAAGAATGGACCCTGAGCTGCACCGTCCCGACTTCGTCACGTTACCAATACAAACTGTTATTTTTTTGGAAAATACTGACACAAAAAAAAGGAACAGATTTTACCTGTTAAATCAGACTTTTATTAGTTATACTGTTATTTATTAGTTTTACTCATTCCACAGACACAATGAACGTGAAGCTTTAGCGTAGAAGTTCAGCAGCTCTACGACACTTGCTCAACTGATCGCATCTGAATGTCTCCGATCTGAACCAGAAAAAAAAATAAAAAAATAACACAGAGAAAAAGTCATTTAAAATTGTGTCAAGCAGGACAAAAAACAACATCAAAGAAGAATAAACAACCTGCACATGAGGAGGAGCGCTTAGGACGTATACGATAGCATTAGCGACGTCTATTGCTTCCAGAGCCTGGAGGGGGGACGAAAAAACAGTTTAGTCACTTCAGTTCCCCAGAAGTGTAACAAAATAATCCCACTCGACGGTAGCTCTCGTACTTTATAATAGGAGTAAACCGAGGCAGCTTTCTCTGCGTTTAGGCTGTAGAGGCGCGGAGCGAACTCCGTCTCCACTAAACCGGGAGAGATGCACTGCAGAGAGAGAAACGGCGTTGAGCACCACACCGTACACGGCGCGTTACCCGAATCCCCGCCTGGAGGAGAGCACGGGGGCGGGCCGGGGTGGGTGGGTTTACAGAGCGTGTGACACTTTGTGGTTAAACTGATGAATCTGCTTTGGTTTTAATGATGCACTCCCGATTCAATGAGTATAAATCACGGCTTTAAAATCCCCACAGGGAGCGACGGGGCCTTTACTGTGGCTCTGATGTGGGTCTTGGCGTCTCGCAGCTCCTGCCTCAGGCCCTCGGTCAGAGCGGTCACGGCATACTTGGTTCCCGTGTAGAAATGGATATCAGCGTTGGGAAGAACACGGTGTCCACACATGCTGCAATAGAAGATGGAAGCTTAATGAGCCAACGTCATTTCAAACAGACAGGAACGGCGGGGCAGCTTTTCATTCGTAACGCATAAGGTCAGGGTCCTATTTTGGAAAATACTCTTGTTTGTCTTATTTTTCCACCCTCAAGTGACGGGTTTGTTGGAAGCAAAAACAATCCAAGCTCCATTGGGATTAGTACATTCTTCTTATTATTTTTTATTTCAATTTGAACTAAATTCTGAATGTAATATCTCTAGATTGTGGAATTCCTTGTAAAGTTGAAACGCCTTTTACATTCCCCCCATTTTTTTAAACACTACAATAAAACTTAAATGCATTTTATTGGAATTTACATGTAAATTCAGTAAAAAATTATAAATGATTGTCAAAAATTCTAAGAAATAATCTGAAAAGTGTGCCGTGCATTTTTCATCAATCGGAAACACTACTTGTGATCAGAAGTCACCTCTCAACAAGTCACTTTTTTCCACTTCCGATGCTGATACCGATATCTGACACATAAATGTGCTGAATTATAAATGTATTTGATAACTCTACACCAGCACAGCGCACTTGAGACACGAACAGCTTCACAAGTCGGGTCAGACGTGTGAAGACAACACAACTATAATCTGCTCAGATGGAGTAACCAAGAGTATAACTAATGAAGGACCTGAAACTGTCAAAACTGACAAAGTTCAAACGTGTCAAAAAATAACAAATAAACAGCAACAAAACTTTTTTCAAATGGTTCATAAAGTGCAATTAGGAATTTTAAATAAGACGTAAAACAAATAATAAAGCGTGATGTCGCTCAGAGCTTGAAGCATGGAACAAGACTGAACAGATCTTGAATGTTCTACAATATGGGGGCCAATGCAAATATTAGTATCAAATCTACTAATTAGTAACTTAAACTGTGTGTAACTTGATCTTGATATAAATCCAACAGGCCATAAATCTTGCTTTTATAGAGAGAAGAGAATCATCACTGAAGGGAGACCGTGTGAAAGGGAGAAAAGACTCAACAGTGAAGCCGTCTACAGGAAGAGACTCAGCAGACTTCACTTACAGGAGAAGCTCAAGTTCTCCAGTGTTTGGCAAAAACATTGTGTATTGATTTAGCAGCATCAGAGTAAACAAAGCAAAAAGGCTCAACAACCTCATAAAGAACGCTGAACATAAATCAGGCTGATCAGATTCCTTATTTGAAATTATTTTGAAAACGCGTCAATTCTCCTCATCATCCACTACTTTGAGTTCGTTTCTATTCGCTCAAACATTCCTCGAAAAGTCCGGTTAGATACAGATGAGGTTATTGATGCCCGTCTCCATTTTGGAAGATTATTGTCATCGCTATCGTTATGAGCTAAAACCTTACCTGTTTAAGTTGATGATGTGTCCGTCGTCAATTTTCCTTTCCTTCATTGACTGGTACGCTTCACGAGTGCAGATGCTCAGTGCTACAATGTTAACCTGAGAAATTGTGAGAAAAAAGTAAATAAATGAAAAACTTGGACGTGGAATCAGCAGCCAAACTTCCCTCTGATCCAGGCGGATCAGAACCATCCTCACGTCCAGCATGTTCTTCCAGGCGCTGGTTTTGCCGCTCAGCAGAGGCTCGGGGTGAGCCAGGCCGGCGTTGTTGATGCAGACGTCCACGCCGTCGTGCTGCGCCTTGATGTCCGCGAACATGGACTGGATCTCGTCCACGTTGGTCAGGTCGCACTTGAACGGGATCAACACGCCGCCGTAGCCGGCACTCTGACACTCTGCAGCCAGGCTCTGAGAGTAAAAAGAAAAACAACCCCAAACAAACAAAATAAAAACCCAGAAAAAATCATCACTTTAAATGTTTTACTGCAATAAAACTTCTTTATTTCAGTAACTTCACTGGTGCATTTAAAAGAACTTCAAAGCTGTGCCATCAGTGGTCAGCTAAATTCAAGAAAATTTATGGAAGTTTCTCTGGCAGGCTTGTCATACAATATATTATATACAATAACTTCTGATTTAAAGTGCTTCCTATGCAAACCCCCCACCCCCAAAAACCCAGAGGTGTACCGATACCAATTTTTAAAAAACCTGACCTGCAGATTCTGATTTTGGCCGTTAAAGATTTTATTGTCTGAAATAAAGTTAAAATCAAAAT